TAATAATAAAGTTGCTTTTTTTTCTCCGACCCTGATTCTGTTGGTTGGATAGGACTTAGCTGGAGAGAGGCAGTGCCCACCACTAGAGCATTTATTGAGTGCCTGTGATGCAGTGAGCACATTTCAAGTATATTGTCACTTAATTCCCATCAAAGACCTGAAAAGGGTATCTTTACTTTTCTTTTACAGGACCTGAAAGATCAGAGAGGCCCTGTGCCTTTCCAAGTTGACTGTCACACAGCTAACAACAGGCCAAGGTAGAGTCCAAGCCCAGGTGGATCTCCATTGCTGCCAGGGGGAAAGAGAAAAAAAGGAGAGTCGAAAAGTAGAGAAAGGGAGCTGAAGACTTGGCAAGAACACTAGTCAACGCGATCTCCAGTGCTCTCCTCACTTTGTTTGGGCTGTCAGAAAGGACCACAGCTGATTCTTGCTACCAGCAGTTGTTAGGGCTTCAGGGACTTTGGACATGTTATCAGGAAGGACAAGTCCCTACAGAAGAGAATCATTCTGGCTTACCAGAGGGTCAGCCCCAAACAGGAAAAGCCTCAGTGAGATGGACTGATAGTCGCTGCAACAAGGGGATCAGACATAGGCATGATTGTGAGGATGGCTCAGGACGGAACAGTGTTGCATTCTATTGGCATGAGGTCACTATGATTTGGAAGTGACAATGTAGTTGATGTATAAAGTCACTGAGAATGCTGAAACAAACATAGAGCCATTGGTCCTATGAGAAATACAGCGTTAAGTTCCCGTAAACCTCTGGTCACAACATTTTCAACACTCACCAATGCATAACTTTATTTTAGGCGTGATTTTGCTTAAAGACAGGAGTCCTGGTGGAGTAGTGGTCACATGTTGGGCTGCTAACTGCAAGGTTAGCAGTTTGAAAGCACCAGCCACTCTGCAGGAGAAAGATGAGGCTTTCTGTTTCTGTAAAGTGGTTCCATCTCAGTGGTTCCAACCAGGGTAGGGACAGTCCTACCCTGGTTGTTTCGAGTGAGAACCAACTCAATGGCAGTGAGTCTGTTTAAAGACACTTCATTGACTATTCATTGTTGATTCATGACGTTGAATGCATGGACAGTAGCCCTGCACCTCATGCCTGAACGAGGCTCATCTAACACAAGCATTTTCTCTGTAAGGTACGTCACTGTCTTCTTCTGCATGGGGGCACCAGACAGAGCTTCAACACCATGTGTGGGAGAGGGAGGCATTGGAAAGGGCAAAATCACCAGCCCACAGCACAAAACACATAGGCTGAGAAAAGAATGCACAGTGGCAGTGGAGAGTGGAGGCAAGCAGGCAGAGTGCTGCCCTGCATCGTCACAGCTGGGAATCTGAACGTTCCTTGTTGACCCAGTGTTTTCACTACTCTGCCCAGTTCCATGAATGACCCCGCGAAGGTGCTGCAAGCATTGATTTGGTGGTTTACAAAGAAATTTTAGCACATAGGTGAAGTCACAAATGCAGAATTACAAATAATGCCCCATGGCCACATACAAAAGGTAGTTGATTCAAAATAAGTGACCATTAGAAGGTCCTGGAGAGATTGGGAGAAAAAACCCAAAACAAACCATGGAATAAAACTCAACACCATAAAAGACCAAGCTTGCTGATTGACTAGAGACTAATGGAAACCCAGACACTGTGCCCCTTAGTCACCCTTCAGGTCTGGAAATGAACTCACACCCTCATCCCCGACCCCCACATAACTCAAGTTTAACTCAAAAACACACAGGTCCATATGGGAAACAGTAAAATGAAGGGGTATGCACACCTCAGAATTATCAACCACTTGAGATCAAAGGAGCAGCCTTTGACCGGAACAAAGTTCAGGAGGGTTAGGAAAGAGGGAGGAATGTAAACAGGAAACACAGGGAGGAAGCAGGATGAGAGATGCTACCTTGTGGAGGTGGCCATACATGAGATGAAACGAAACGTGTAGCACCTGAGAACATTGACTTAGCACCATCACTCGATCTCATCAAGACAAATAACTTATGACATCATGATTCTAAAGTAAACGAAAGAAAAGGAAAATGGTTTCCCAAAAAAGATAAGAGATGTTAAAGACCACAAGGAGACCAGGTGGGGGGTTGCGGCAGAGGAGAGGGAAGGGTTAGGAAACCAGGAAGGAGGAGAGGGTGTGGAAAAAGTAAAAACAAAAGAACCGCATCTACGGGGCTTTGATGGGCTGTTACTGATGTGATTTCATGAGCGATGGTCTGTGCAAGTACATAGAACATGGTTTTCTTTGTATTATATCCCACAGAGGCGAAGTGTTACATATATATATAAATAGAAATATGAAATAGAGCTAAAATGAAAGAGAGAGAGAATGACAGGTCACAGTCTTACCCCCCTCCCCCCCAGACTCCCTACCCATCAGATCTAAACATTGGTCTGGGTGGCTATAAAGGGAGGAGGAGTAAAAACAAAATGGATTTGCATTCTTTTGTGGCAGACAGGTTTGTTCTAGACCAAAAAACAAGAAAATACAAACAGTGTGTGACTTGTTGAATAGAAAACTGATCTGCGCTGTACCCCTTTATTTAATTCACAATGAAATGTGTGTAAGTGTGTGCGTATGTGCGCACACACCCACTTAGAGGTTTTTGTGTCTCTTCCCACTCTATCCTCATGCTGCCTGGTGATGATGGAATGAGGTGTCCCATCTCAAACATGGCCCCAGAGGCCTCTTGACAGAAGCAGGACATCCAGCTGGCTGGTTTGGTGTCGATAGCAACCACCACTGAAGCCTCCATCTGAGCATCCCAGGATGGCAATGCTTGCAGCATGGAGCCTGACTGAAAGGAACCATGTCAGACATTAAACAGCTAGAAGTCAAGTTCAGATGGGGAAGGTGGAAAGGGAGGAACTGGAGAATGGAAAGACCACAAGAGAACCAGGACACACCTGTGGGGTATGAGGAAGTCAATCCAGAAATCGTGAGCCCTGAAAACTTTCCCTGGTTCCATTTCATTTCTTTTTCTATTTCCCAACTTCATGGAGATTTTTGTGTGTGAAAAGTAGATCAAATGGCAATGTTCCATGATTTCCCTCCAAAGGAAACAACAAATACCAATGAATGGT